CGCCAAAGAATTGATGCTTTTGAATTGTGGTGCTAGAGGAGACTCTTGAGAGTCCCCTGGACTGCAAGGAGAACAAACCTATTCATTTTGAAAGGAAATCAACCCTGAGTGCTTACTGGAAGGGCAGATCCTGAAGCTGAGGCTCCAATACTTTGGCCATCTCATGAGAAGAGAAGACTCCCTGGAAAAGACCCTGATGTTGGGGAAATGTGAAGGCAAGAGGAGAAGGGGACAACAGAGGATGAGATGGTTGGACAGTGTCATCGAAGCAACCAACATGAATTTGACACAACTCCGGGAGTCAGTGGAAGACAGGAGGGCCTGGCATGCTCTGGTCCATGGGGTCATGATGAGTCGGACACAACTTAATGACTAAACAAAAGTCTGGAGACAGACACCTTCTGTTGCAGTTCCAAAAGTGTGCTTCAGCATGACAGCAAAAAATATCCCAGAGTCGGTGCGAGGACACAGCCCTGTTTCACTCCGCTTCAGATGTCAAAGGGATCTGAAGTTGAGCCATCAAAAACTACAGTACCCTTCATTTTCTCATGAAAGGATCTGATGATGTTAAGGAGTTGAGGTGGACCTCCAATTTTGGGAAGTATTTTAAAAAGGCCTCCCCTACATTGAGCTTTATATCATGTGCTCACCCACTTTCAATTTCAATTTATCTGTGCCCAATCCAACTAAATTGCAGGGTAAAGGGTCTATATTTTTGCCCCAGATTCCACCTAAAGGAGATATGAAGGAGTATTTTTATTTTATTTTATTTTATTTGTTTGTTTGTTTGTTTGATTGATTTTTTTATCCCGCCCATCTAGACCAAGGGTCTACTCTGGGCGGTTTACAAATTTAAAAACGCTTTAATATTTCAAACCTAAAAAGCATCCTTCACAGCTTTAGGTGTCAAGCAAAAACTCCTGTTTAAAACTGTCTTTCAGGTTTGTTTTGTTTCAAAATTTATAAAGAAAAAATGAGCTTGAATCCAAAGAATAAATGTACCAAATGCTCTATGCAGGAATAAAACTATGCACACAACAGGACATACTTCAGAAACCACATGTACAGGGCTGTGACTGAGTCATATCTATTATCCTCTGATTTTCCTCTATACTTGACCAATTTGCTTGGCAAAATTAAAGGAACACATATTTTAATGAGCAAAGGAAAAAGCGAATGGTGCATGAAAACCTAGGAAACAGGAACAGCATCCACATTCTTTCCATCACGTCAAACATGAGCCCATGTAAAAAGAAGTAAGATGTATGTGTCACTCAGTGCTGGAATTTAATTAATCTTGAAAAAAAAGAGTAAGAATGTGATAGAAAGAAAAGGAAGTATGTCCTCTTCATAAAAACATTTGTATCATGGACAGACAAACAGCAAAACCACAAGTTTTTCAAGAAATAGCACTTGAACCCAACATGAGTTGTACAGTTTTATGTCCTTCCAAAGAGACAGCATGAAATATACTGTATATGATACAACTGAAGGGGTTCCCAATCCTGGCTATCCTAGCACAGCTAGTGGGGAAGGCTTCTGGGAACTGCAGTCCAAGAACACTGGGGTGCACAAGGTTGGGAACCACTGCATTACTGTGTTTAACATCCATGTTCATTTTGCCCAACTCTTCCTCAGTTACTTTTAAACTCTTCGGTACATACGGATCAGTAACTGAAGACTGCACTTCATAGTGTAGAAGTAATAGACATCTAGTTTTAATAGGAAATTATCAAAGGTGATTTTTTTACAGTACAGTTAGGCAGATGTTTGCTGGCTGTTTAGCATAACAAGGTTACACCTTTCCATATTAAGTTTTAAACTCATATTCATTTGCATTTGTTGGTCAATTCATAACGTGTATTCCCTATGCAATGCTGAAGATGAAAAAGAAAAATTAAACAAAACGGTAGTACAATAATTTGACATTAAAACCCTGCACAAAGAAATATGCACGGTGACATTTTAACCCTTTCCTTGTATCTTCTAAAAATAAATGGTCTTATCACATCCCTATCTCTTTTTTGTCTTCTTTGTATGGGTGCAACCACATTTAAAAAGCACACTATTTTTGTTTAAGCACTACAACATCCTATGCTTCTGACAGAAAGCATACTGTCAGTCTGAGGATTGCATTACCTGGTGAACTAGAAGATCCTTCCAAAGCTGGCGGATTCACAGGATCCTCCTGGCCCAGCTTTGAAACTGAAGTTCTCAGAACTGCACTTCTCTCTGGATCTGAAGAAAGTGCATCAGGAGGAGCAGGAAAGAGCTTCTCCAGGACCTTCTTTCTGAACACTAAAAAAGATGGTGATAAAACAAATTCATCTGTTACAGCTGATTTATTTATAACTTGAAACAGATGCTTCATCATTACATTCAAAGAGAGCCGAAGAGAGAACGAAGGGGATGGGATACAGTAGAGTCAAAGTTTGTGGGTCAAGGTCTCTTTTGGCAAAATCAGTACACCAGTGACAGAAACAAAACTGTGCACAGGATTCCTGTCCAGGGCTCTGCAGTTGTACCATTCCTCTAATAGAAGTTCCAGTTACCTCTGTTATCCACGCTGAGGGCCCAAGTATGTGTTACAACCTGTTTTATAGCTGGTACAAAAAGGCTGCCTATCCCAGTTCTTCCCATAATGTCATTTCTTGGCAGTAACATGGATGCTCTCAGAAACAGTGTCTATTGTGGATTATGCTCACTTGGGATCATGTGTGTGCATGTACACGTGTGCAAACATATATAAGCTTGACCCCAACTGTATCTTCTGACATTAGTGGAACCTGATATGAGGTTCCAGAAAGAAGAAGGAATAGGCCACGGGGTCCCCAATATTCCACAAATGTAAGAGTGGCCGATACCTTTTATTCATGGATTAAATCCATTTCCTCAAACTAAGCACACCTCCTTCGTGGACAGTGTGGAAAAAATTGTAAATAAAATGAAATAAGGTGAGTTCCCTTCTCTCCAACTCACCTGAGTTCCCTTCAGTATCAGGGAAACCCTTTTGAGCAGGGTTTTGAGAGGAGCACAGAGGTCTATGGGTGAGAGTAAGTAGAGTCCTACTGTACTGACAGAAGTACATATGCTGGAGGAATAGAGGACTAAATTCTTTGTTAGAACATCAGGGCCAGCATCCATCTCATGTTCAGTATGAGATAAAAAGTAAAAGCAGGCTCTCTCTCTCTCTCTCTCTCTCTCTCTCTCTC